TCCACCGGATTCAAAACTACCGGGCACTAATGAAACGGTTCCATTTGTATTTGTGGCAGACGACGCTTTCAAGTTGACTTCTCGCATATTAAAGCCACATGGCCAACGTTCAAGCGATTACCACAAAATTTTTAACTACCGCTTAAGTAGAGCCAGACGAGTAGTTGAGAATGCGTTTGGAATATTGGCAAATAGATTCCAAATATTTCAAAGAAATATTGATTTACCACTAGACAAAATTGAGAACCTAACACTAGCTGCATGCGCGCTGCACAATTTCATTACAACACGAGATGGTTTCGAAAGCATTCACCTAGATTTGGAGGATACAAATACAATAAATTTAATCGAAGGATCTTGGAGAAACGAAGTAGCTTTAACTAGTTTACAAAGATCACTTGCGAATCATTCAGCAGTTGAGGGAAGAACAGTCCGTGAAATATACACCAAATATTTTAATACAACTGGTTCCGTTCCATGGCAACTTAGTGCAATAAAAAAATTTAATTTTTAAACTTATGCTGGTTTTATAAATGCACTGCGTAGCAAAACTGTTTTTTTTAAATATCTACGAAGTTTTTCAAGCTAAATTTATTTTTTGGTTTTTTTATATAACAATATTTTTCATGCCTGAACCAAACCCATATAAATCAAAGTTTAAATTTTTATATAGACTTAAAAAAAATATAAAATAATGTTCTTTAAAATTTCGAACTTTTTAATAAGAATCTGTATAAAGTTTGAAATTTTGATTAATAGGTAGTTAGTTCAGCCATGAACAATATTATTATACAATAATAACAAAAAAATTCAGCTTGAAAAACATTGTACACCAATGGCCAGCATAATAGAAACCCCTTATTTTGACCAGTTTTGGCTATATTTCTTTTGTTTATTTAATATTTATCATTTTTTATAAAAGCACAGCTCAATATCTAGCAGAAACCGTAAAAATTCATATTTCAAAAAATTATATAAATTCTGTAAAGTTGCATTCAAATTCTCAACTATTTAATTTTTTAGATTTGGTGTGCAGTTTTATAGTCCATTCAATTTTAGTGTAACAAAGTGTAAGTTTTAGGTTGCTAAGAAATCGCGTTAATTTTCTCCCATACAAAGTATGTTCGACAATTTTGTTTTTGTATGGAAAAATGCGAAACACTTTCAACCAAAAAAATTATCAAAAATCAACGCGATTCATTAGCAACTCAAAACTTACACTTTGTTGCACTAAAATTGAATAAGCTATAAAACTGCGTATTAAATAAGAATCTAAAAAATTAAAAAGTTTAGAGTTTAAATGCAACTTTGCAGAATTTTTATAATTTTTTGAAATTTGAATTTATATGGTTTTTATTAGATATTGAGATGCGCTTTTATAAAAAATAATAAATATTAAATAAACAAAAGAAGTAACCAAAACTGGTCAAAGTATGGCCTTTCTCCAGTTTTGACCGCCAGTGTATATTTTATGTATTTATGAATTAAAAAAGATCGTATCTTCAATAAAACATATTGAATATATTTGTACTTCAGTTCATTTGTCTACATATTTAGTTAAAAAAGAAAACAATGTTTTAGGCAGCCCTTCAGTCAAAAAAAGATTAATACCTCAAAAATTCCCAAAAGAAGCAAGGTCGGCATTCATGTTTCTAGAATACATTTTGGATATACCATTACAGTTTTCAAATCGGTTCTGGATTGCGAATTTTACAAAATCCGCAAGCAAGAACGAGTTTGAAAAAAACGTGGGTACATTCAAAATCATCGGTATAAATATAACCGAAATATCTGAATTCGTTGTTGCCGATTTGGCTGTTGGTTAAGTATAAAAAAAAAAACATAAATTTCATAAAGCTTAGTAATTTTTGTTGCCTTCCAATAAGAGATTTCGCTCCATTTGCCTCTCCTTTTTTTTAGATTCAAAGAGTAAGTGAACAAACGATTCCTTAAGTTCCTCCTTGATTTCTTCATTTTTAAGTGCGCGAAATTCCAACATTAAAAACCTACAGAAAGCGTCATCGTTACCATCCAATTCAGTATTATCTTTTTGTGCAATAGATTTCAATGCCTCCGTCGCAGCTTCTAACATGTCGTTCTCCTTTGGTGTTGAGCTGTCTTCATTCGGACGCACTCTCTTCTTACTTCGGGCCGGAGGAGACAAGTCTCTTTCTAGTTCAACTGAAGTTTGAGAATCATCCAGGAACTGAAAGTAAGGATATACATATATGTATATACAAATGTACATGCACGAACTAAAGAAAATGATTTCTCAGCAATGCAGCAGTCCTCACCGATGAA